TCTGGTCTAGGCCTCAGGCTCTGACATTTACTAGCTGCCTAATCCTGGACAGGTCATTAAAGTCAACAAACCACTAAGCCTTTATTAAGTAATTACTGTGTGTCAGGCACTGAGAACCTTAGTTTCCTCATTAGTAAAATTAGGATAATAACACTTTCACTTCCTAACTCCCGGGATGGTTGCAAGGAGAGTGACCTCTGCTATCTCCCCACTCCAGGCCATCCTCCATTCAGGGGTCAAATTGCTCTCGCTTAAGCACAGGTTTGACAATGTCACCCCCATCCCAGTTCAATAAACTCCAGTGACTCCAGGATCAAACATAAAATACTCTCTTTGGCTTTTAAACCCTTTCATAATCTGACCCCTTCCTACACCTTTTCCCTCTTCTCTCACCCCACAATACCCTGTGACCCTGTGACATTGGCCTTCTTGCGGATCCACACACAAGACACCATGGCCCAACTCTGAGCATTTTCACTGGCTATGCCCCATGGCTGGAACTCTCTCCATTCTCATCTCTACCTCCAGGTTTCCCTGGCTTCCTTCAAGTCTCAGCTAGAACCCCACCTTCTACAGGAAGACTTTCCCAATTCCCCTAAGTTCTAGTGCCTTCCCTTTGAGATTATTTGTAGTTTATCTTGTTCGTATTTTGTTTGTACATAATTGTTTGCATATTATCTCCCCTAACAGACACTGAGCAACTTGAAATCAGGGACTATCTTTTGCCATTCTTTGTATCCCCAGGGCTTTATCGACTGACTAACTTAAAGCAATATATAAAGTCAGGCACCAAAAATAAAGGCAACAAGGCTGGATAAAGATCTGGACCTGGAGTCAGGAAGATCTGAGTTCAAATTCTGTCTCAAGACACTGGCTATGCCCTGAGCAAATGATTTAACCTCTTTTGACCTCAGTTTCTTTATCTATGAAATAAGGATATAACAGCACCTTCTTTACAGGCTTGTGGTGAGGATCAAATGAAATAATATAGGTAAAGTACTTTGCAAATATTAAAGCATTATATAAGTGCTAGCTATTATTATAATAGAGATGGCCTTGGATGCAAGAAGACCTAGTTTCAAACCCCATCTCCAACACCCACTGGCTGTGTGACCCAGGTCAAGTCACTTAACTACTCAATAATCTAAGCAACTCTCTAAGACTCTAAACTGTTGACCCGCATTGGTAGAGGGACTTTCCTCATCTGAGAGGTCATCCTCGTATGAATGAAATCATACTCTTGTCGCTATCCCAATCCCTATACACTAGTATTATTTCTGTGATAATCTAACATCTCAGAGCATCATGACCATAGACCCCCTCAGTATTTTATACAATTTAGTTAAGAATCTATTCTGACATCACTTACATCTTTAGACTTTGGTAGGCAGAAAAGAGATCCATCCCCTCCAGAAAAAGTCAGGACCAATTTATTCAAGCATTAAAAATAACACATTTTTTTTCCCTAACAGCTTACTTATTCGTTTGTTTGTTTTAGCAGTTTAACCTAATAACCACATTATGAGATTACCATCCACTTTGAAGGATGTCAAAATTCTTCCCTTGCTCAGCATCCCTTGGAGGGTTGTGGGGTGGGGGAAGGAAATTGGAGGGAGGAAGAAAGGGTAGTTCTAGATATGAACTGACAAAATTGGCTTTGAAAATGTGAAAATTATTTTTTAAAAGGTGCTACATTTATTAACCATGTCACTAAAAATAAGAAAAAATGACACCGAGATTAAGGTGTTAGAGTATGCCTTCTCACTTCTCCACCCCCACACCAACTGTCAGGGGAAAGAGGAAGGGACCACAGTCATGAATACGGATTGGACTGGGAATCAGGAGACCCCAGTCAAATCCTGCTCTGCGCAACAGCTGTGTAACCCTGGGAAAGTCCCTTAACCTCTCAGACCCTCAGATTCCTCATATGAAATATTGATACTACCCGTTGATAGAATCATAAGATCTTAGATCTTATATATCTTATGAAAGATACTGCAGAGAACATGTAGCTGAACTTTTAATGTTTTACAGAATATGAAACTGATGCCCAGGAAGATTAAGTGATATGTCCAAAGCCTCATAGATAATAAGCATTAGAGGTAAGATTTGTACCCAGGGCCTCTGATTCTAGAACCATTGATCTTTCCCCTGTACCACATTGATTACCTTCACAGGGTTGTTGTAAAGTGCTTTATGGCACTTAAAGTGTTATAAAAATGTGGACCATTATTGATTATTATATTATTACTCAGGGACACCAGCTTCTGAACTATTATTTCACACATCTCCTTTGAAGTCCACTCTGTAAACTTAGGTCAGTCTTTCCTGTCCTCATTGTTAAAGCCGAGTAATTCTTCCTTAACTACTTCAAAAAGATTTTTCACAATCTTCCTTTTTACCCTTTGTCCTTCCTTCTTTTCATAGATTTCAACAACCACCTTCCAAAGCCATGGCCTCACAGTTCTTTGTCCTCCTGAAGTCCAATGATCATTTCAGCTACCTACTTGCATAGCCACCCATTGTCATCACAAGGAATTGTTCTATCCCCAAGATTTTAAACTCTAAAAATCACATAAACACAATTTCCTATTCTTCTACCTAAGGGAATCAATGCATGAAATGTACAATTCAATAAGAAAAATTTCTGGATAATTTCTCATATACCATGGGAGTGAAGAGGAGGAGGAGGAGGAGGAGGAGGAAGAAGAAGAACAAGGAGGAGGAAGAGAATGAGGAGAAAAACAAGAAGAAGAGGTAGAGGAGGAAGAGTAAGAAAAAAGAGAAGGAAGAGGAAAAGGAGGAAGGAGGAGAAAGCAAAGAAGGAGAAGGAAAAGGAGGGGAAGGAGGAGGAGAAGAAGAAAGATAGGTGAAGGAGGAGGAGGAGGAAGAAGAGGAGGGAGAGGAGGAGGAGGTAGCATTTATATAGTACCTACAATATGCCAAGCACTGTGCTAAACACAAATAAAATTATTTCATTTAATTCTCACAATGATCATGGGAGGTAGATGCTATTATTACCCCCATTTTATAGTTGAAAAAACTGAAGCAGATAGCACTTAATGACTTGCCCAAGATCACATAGCTAATAAGTTTCTGAGGTTGGATTTCAACTGAGATTTTCCTGAACTCCAGGAAGCTGCATGAGATTATTTAAAGAAGAGAAAATGGAACACCACACTCTCCCAAGGAGTAAGTTACCCCTTCCTAAATCTTCATCTCTAGCCCAACCATTCTCATCTCCAACTACTTATATCTATAGAAATAACCATCCAAAATTAATACATGCCAAACTCAGCTCATCATTTTACCCCTAGAAATATTTCCTCTTCATGACTTCCCTAGTTTTTTACCATAGGCACCACCATTTTCCCTGTTACCTAGACTAGAAGCAACACAGTCACCTTGTCTCTATTCTATCCCCATTCTATCACTCCTTCCATTCTCCCAACCTTGTTTCACTCTGTCACTTCTGTCTGCTCAATTCCATTCCATTCCAACAGCTATTACTAATGTCAGGCCTATATTATCTCAAGTGGATGCTTCCTGTATTTTCCTAAAAGGAATCCCAGTTTCTAGTACTTTGTCCCTACAAACCATTCTACACACTATCGCCAGATGGATCTCCTTAAAGTACAGTTCTGATGGTGTAACACCTCTGAATCAAAACATCTCCAATCATTCCCTATTGTCTACCAAACAAAATCCATACTCTTTAGACTGGAATTGATAGTCTCCCGTGATATGACCTCAACCAATTGTTCTTCTCTTGCCTTCTATTACTTGCTGTACTTATGTTTCCAACAGGCAAACAGTGCCCAGATTATTTGCCATTCCTCATACATACTCTGAGAGTTCATGTTGATGCCCATGTAATACTCTCAACCTCCTATGCCCTTTCTCCGATCTCTACTCTCCAAAGCTCTACCCAACACTGGAGCTTAGTTCAGGGGTGGGGAACTTGTGTCCTCAAGGCTACATGTGGCCCTCTAGGTCCTCAAGTGTGACCCTTTGACTGAGTCCAAACTTCACAGAACAAATCCCCTTAATAAAAGGATTTGTTCTATAAAACTTGGACTCAGTCAAAAGGCCACACCCAAGCACCAAGGCCACATGTGGCTTTGAAGTCACAGTTTCACCACCCCTGAATGCCACCATTTTCGTGAAGCTTTTCTAGCTACACACAATTCCTCATTCCTTTAAATTCCTACAGCCGTTACTTTATGCATAGTTTTTTGTACTCCACATATTCTTTCATTTATTATAGTTATTTTTGTATATGCAATCATGAATCTTCGATTGTAAACTTGCAGGGGGGAAGAACTACGTCACAAATCTTTGCATTTCTCAAAGTAGCTTGCACATAATAGGTTCTTAATAAGAAAATGTTTGGCTAATAAATCAATCGATAAATGAGTCACATATGAATCAAACAACAGGGAAAAAAAGTAGATGACTTTTGATTTTAATAAATAATAATTGCATCCCCTGCCTCAATTTACCTCAATTTACCTAAAGGGGCTCTAGATATAGACATATCACTATGCAGTAATAGCCTTCCTGTCTACTTTAGCCAATAATGACTGCAAATCTTCCCTATCCATTGTTCACTCTGCCAACATCAAATATTTGTTCTTCATTACTTGCCACCTTACATGGTCCTCTAATTAGGTTCATCTGTATGTTCAAGTGTTGACTCCCCAAGTAAATTATACCTTTGTGGACATTTGGGGATAAACTTTATGCGGCTTTTTGTTATCCCCACTTCACCCATGGAAGCCAGCACAGTTCTGGGCACACAGTAGCAATGCATTATATTTGAATTGATTGATTGGCGTTTGATGCTTCTTGGTCATTTACAATTGACCCTGTTCTGTCCAGCTCCACAAGTTATGAATTACAAAGTCATCCCATCCTCCATCAGAAAGCATTTAAAAAAACAAAATCAACAGTGAGTAAGAAAAAGACTGAGGTCTTCATTTGGGTTAAATTTAACATACTCTATTAAGTCAGGAAGGCTTTTGTAGATTTCTTCATCATTGACACTTTCTTCAGTAGGGAATGGTCTAGAGGAAGGAAAAAAAGAGAAGTATAAATGGAAGAAAACTAAATGGAATATAATTTTAACAAAATACACAATGTGCACTGTTACTATGTAAGTCAAATTCTATTACTGTGGCAAATATTCCCTCAGGCATGCCCCCAAAGTGCCCACAGTGACTGCTGCCAACTAGCTGCTTCGGATGTGTACTCAATTTTCCTTAAAGATATCCACAGCCTCTGCTCAACCATCATCAGCATCACTATAAATAACACTAACACTTTAGTGTTTTAAAGTACTTTACAAACTATTATCTCATTTGATCCTCACTACAACCGTGGGAGAAAGGTGCTATTTTTTCCCTCATTTTGCAGATGAGGAAACTGAGGTAGACAGAGTCTAAATGACTTGTCCAAAACCACACAACTGGTAAATGACTGAGGTGGGATTTGAAGTCCAGTGCTGTAGCCACTATGTTACCATGCATTAAGGTTCAATTTAAGCATCTGTAGCAGTGGCTGGTGGCAGTCTCTCTTCTAAATGCACTTAGGATTTCTATCCCCAAGCCTGTCTGCAGTAGCATCACTTGTTCAGGATCATAGAATTGTAGTTTGAGAGTTAAAATGAACCTGGGAGAACATTTGGTTCAATGCCTTCAGTCTGGTGCTGGAAAAACTGGAGACCCAAGAAGTTAAAGTGATGTGGGTCCAAGGTCACACGGGTGGGAAGTAGATCTGGGGCCAGGAGCCAGGTCTCAGTATTCTTTCCACTGTATCACAGACAGATGGGTCTCCCCGTAAGCACCTGCTGGCATTTCCTAATTCAGGAAATACCAGCTAGTACTGCTGAGTTTCTTGACATTTTTTAAAATTATGTTTTAATGAGATCTTTTGTCTTTACATTTCTCACACACACTGCTCTCACTTCCTGCCATTGAACCCCTCCTATAACAAAGAAAAACAATTAAGCAAAAATTTCTTATATATAAATGTATATCCCAGTCAGTTTCCCACCTCTCTGACACGAGGGACAAGGTCTATGTCATTATCTCTTCTCCAGGCCTTTCAGTGGTTTTGCCTTCGCTGAGTTCCTCAGCTTTCAAAGTATGTGCTTCAAGAAAATCTCAATATAGCTAAAAACAGTCATCATAGAGTCATGGGATTTGAACTTTAGACCATGTTAGCCCCACACCAGGACTTAATTCACTTGCCTAAACTTAAAGCCACTTCCACAACAAAAAGACATGTCTTTCATATGCTGTTTTTTGTATGCTAACTGAAATCAGTTACAGTCACATGTGTATTTTAATTTTACTTTATTGCGCCACTGAGTTTGTGGCATTTATTTTGATAAATCAGGAAAAAAACTCATGGAATTTTAGACTAAAAAGAGATCTAAGAGATCATCTGGTCCAATCCCTATATTTCATTGATTTAGAAACTGAGGCCTAGATAAATGACTGATAACTAGTTAGAAGGAGGCTTAAAATCTAGGTGTCCTCACTACTAATCCAGCAGTCTTTATATGAAGTTATTGGTTCCTGCATCTCAATATAACACTTGTTGTTCATTTGCTGCAATCATGTCTAACTCTTCATGACCCCATTTGGGGTTTTCTTGGCAAAGATCCTGGAGGGTTTTGCCATTTCCTTCTCCAGCTCATTTTACAGATGAAGAAACTGAAGCAAATGGGGTTAAGTGACTTGTCTAGGGTCACAAAGCTTGTAAGTGTCTGAGACCAGATTTGAACTCAGGAAGATGAGTCTTCTTAACTCCAGGTCTGGCATTCTATCCACTGTGCCACAAAGCTGCCTTAATAAAATATATATTCATATTATTAGAACAATTGCTTGGTAAAAGCCCCATCTTCAAAGAGCGTTCCTTTGATATTTCTTCCCCATTTAATACAGCTTAGTTTCTGTGTTTGTTCTATTTTAACTTTCAAATAGTTAGAGACATATATTTAAATTAAATTGAAAGAAAGTTTCCCTAACTCTTAGCTCACTTATGTCTTAGATGTTGAAGGCAGAATGTTCAAGTAAGATACATATATAAATATATATAATATACACACGAATACATATATGTATATATATATACACACCTACTTACATTTAGGTGTATATGTCTATATTATGTACATATACATGTACATGTATACATAAGATATACATTTATGTGTATATATGTATGTGTTTATGTTCTTTAAATGGATTCTAACAAAGTTAATTGCACTATAGCACACTTAGAAGGTATTTAATAACTATTGTATTTGAACTATAGCAAACTCTTAGAACATGTATGAGTTCATTTTTATTTTTTTTTATTTATTTTAGGCAATTGGGATTAAGTGACTTGCCCAGGGTCACACAGCTAGTAAGTGTCAAGTGTTTGGTCTGAGGCCAGATTTGAACTCAGGTCCTCCTGACTTCAGGGCCTGCTCTATCCACTGTGCCACAGAGCTGCCCCATGAGTTTATTTTTAAATGATGCCAGAATCCATCAAGATGAATGAAGATGATAGGAGAATAGATTTACAGCTGATAGGTCCTAGGGAGGTTATCTAGTCTAAACCTTTCTTAACACAGATGAAGAAAGAAAATGAAGAGAAGGGTACAAGTGCCTGCCTCCTATGTTCCAGGCACTGTGCTAAGCACTTTACAAATATGATCTCAGAATATGAAGAATCTGACACCCATAGAGATGTCAGGAATTCTTAACTTGGAGTCTGTGAACTTTTACTTAAATTTTTTTTATTATTTTATTTCATATAATTAGTTTCCTTTGTAATTTTACATATTTTACTTCACGAATTTAAAGACATTATTCTGAGTCTATAGGCTTCCCCACACTCCCAAAGGGGTCTATGAAGCAAAAAAGGTTAAGAAACCCTGGAGTAAGTGATTTGCCCACTGTCACATAGGTATTAAGAGACAAAGAGAAGATCTGAACTCTCTAATTCCAAATCTAGTACTCTTAGTACTGATAGATCCCTACACTTATGAATTCTGAGTGGCAGACAGTCAGCAGTTTACAGAACAATCCTAGGTTCTGCATTTTGGGCACCAAAGTCAAGTGTTTCATAGACTAAGTACTATACCCACCAATAATATAAAGGTTTCAAAATCATGCTTATGAATGACCAAAAATGGAAATGTTTACATATTTTTGCCAAATTAAATATTTATGACTTATGTTTTAAAATATAGTTCATAGTTGTTGGCCATATCAAAGAAGGAACACCTACTGCATACTCCATGAATTGAAAACAACACATCCACCATCTGACACAGGACAATTGTAACAATAAATCTTACCTAATTCCTGTGGCTAATGCAATAGGTGTACGAGAAAGTCTTGACAGTGTTTCTATGACCTGAGAAAAGAAGAAAATACTCCATTGGATTTGTGTTTCCAAGAACCTAAGGTTCCCCAAAAGTCAGTTTTTTTAGTCTTATAATAAAGGTCAATAAAATAAATATGAATGTTTGATAGAATAATCTGAAGGCTCCTGAGGGATTTTTAAAAAGCGTATCAGGCCTAATTTTAAAGATTTCCAGTAAAGACGATTCCTTGGCTACCCTTGGATTAAATACTTCAAAATCCCTGAGCCTCAGTTTTCTCATGTTTAAAAAAGAGAGATTTGAACTTTAAAAACCTCTAAGGTCTCTTCTCGTTATAGATCTATGGTCAGCATCAACTTAAAACCAAGTTTAGAGATTTAGAGCTGGAAGGGAACCCAGTCCCTCTAACCCAACCCCCTCATTTTACAAATGAGAAGAATGAGGCCCAGAGTCTTTTGGGTCTTTTGATCCAAAGCAGAACTTGAACCCAAATTCTCTGACTCCAGATTGATCATCCTTTCCCCTATACCACAATGGTCTTCCTGACTTCTATTCCAACATTCTATCCACTAAGTGAAGCTACTTCTCATCCCTTTCTCCTAAGGACAGAGTGGTCATTGGAATGGGATTGGACTCTCTTCTGTCATACGCACTACCATCTTCATAAAAACCACCTTCTCTTTCTTCATGACGGAAAAGAGACAGCTCGTATAGACACATCAGGATAAGTGTTTAAGCAGAAGGCACAAGGAGCGAAAAAAAATACAAATATTCTCCCTATCACTACCCATATCACCAAAAAAAGAATTAAAAAATGATCACAAATGTAACAAACATAATGCATCTATAGTTTGAAATGAAAAATAGGAAAGTAGCAGATTTGCCAAAAATACTTAGAAGTCTACATGGTAACATGAAACAATTTCTACCATCAAGGGGCTTACATTTTACTGGAAGTACTTTTATTCCACAGAAGGAATCTACTTTGACAGACTACACATCCCAAGCTTCAGTTACAGAAAATATAGTCATTTCAGTTATAAGGCCATTAGGGAAGGCCACATATTATTTTCCTAGTCTAATGTTGGCACTCAGTCACAGAGCAGATTGATTCTACAACCAAATGTAAGAAAAGCAGGGTGTCTACAAATACATGGCAGTTTCCACTATCCAGTCCTACCGTGCCCTCCTCCTCATCCCATCCTCATCACCAGAAAAACATAGAAAACATTGCTTTTCTTCTTATAAATAACCAGCAGAGGGAGCCATTTCATAGAATATTAGTTATGTTTTACCATTTAATTCTGCTTAATAAGTGTAGGCATCTCTGAAAGCCTGCTGAGGTAGATGCTAGACTTCTATAACTTCTTCTCCAAAGGTTATTTCTTAATATTCTTCAAAGTATTGGGTTGGGAGAGGGGAGAGAGAAGAGGATGATATAAGAAATAAGTACAGTATGAGAATCAGAAAAAAACCAGAACAGCAATGTAATTTTAAACACAAACTCTTCAGCACTCCCTTGAGCTCTGGTACATTATCCAGCATTCTGTCTCAGTCTTTGTCTCTGTCTTTGTCTGCCAGTCTCCATTTGTATCTCTGTCTCTCTGTCTCTGCCTCTCTGTGTCTCTGTCCCTGTCTCTGTTTGTCTCCATCTGTCTGTCTCTCTCTCTCCCCCCATCCTGGTCTAAACAGTAAACATAAGCATTGCCAAGCCAAATATGTAAAGTCTACTCAATGTGGTTTTTTAAAGGTTGTATTTGTTGTTCTTGAAGGTCTATGAGCACAAAATCTTGGCAATCAGTGAACTTTGAACAGGCTGAGTCCCAAAAATAATGCTGGATCCTCGGGTCCCATGTGATCAAATATGATCTCTCCCAGTGAGATAAGAACATGGCTGCGCAAATATTTACAAAAGAAAATGGAACCAGGGAAACCATTGAATCTTTGTGTTGATATGGTCATAGGATCATTCATAAAGCACAGGAACAAGGCTTTGGAGCTAGAAGGTAATGTCACCTAGCCTAACTCCTTCACTTTAGAGATGAGGAAACTAAGTCCAGAGATGACTTTCCCAAAGTCACACAAGGATTAAATGTCAGAGAAAGACCTGAACACAGGTCCTATTACTCTAAATCCAACACCTTTCACTGTATCATTGTTAAATAATTGTTTCTGAATAATTCTCTGAAATATAATATATTCTAATTATGACAATATATAATACACATAATATATATAACATATAATGTATTATAATATATACAATATGAAATCCTGAGTACTAGCTATAGAAAGGATATATTCTTTCAAAAAGGCTGCAGTAGGGTCAGTTAGGTGGTGCAGTGGATAGAGCACCGGCCCTGGATTCAGGAAGACCTGAGTTCAAATCCGGCCTCAAGACACATAACACTAGCTATGTGACCCTAGGCAAGTCACTTAACCCCACTGCCTAGCCAAAAACAAAACAAAACCAAAACAAAACAAAAAAAAAAAGGCTGCAGTGATATACTAAATCACCAAAAAGGGGGTATAGTACTTGAATTTAAGAAGGTATAAATATCAAATCAGTTCAAAAGATTTTTTTTGAATTATCCAACTTGAAGATGAAAGACATTTTTCCTTCACATTTGTGAATAAGTTCAAAAATGTTCTGATTACAAGTATAATTATAAAAATTGGAAAAAGAAGTTAAGATTTACTTTATTTCTGTTGAGCTAGGTAGGCCATTCTGGAAAACAGTGATCAAAACGGCAATAAACTCTTCTCTATGTAGACCACTATTTTCAGATGCTTTGATTTAAAGAGAAAACATTTCAAGCGTCACTGTTATCACAGACCATTTATAAGTATCCAAGGTCTCTGGAAAAAAAATCAAGCATTATTATTAGCTCCGTTTCACAATTGGGGAATTTAAAATGTCAAAGGTTAAATCATTTCAAGTGGCATCAACAGAAGTTGCATGTGGGCGAACAAAGGCAGGGTTTAAGCAAAAAAAAAAAAAGTCACACTTGTGTTTACAGAAAGAGATCAGCCTATAATGAACATTCACTGCTGAATGAGAGGAAGGAATGTCCCTTCAGTCATTACAACCCTCCTCCACACTCTCCCCACACTCCCTTGCTAAATTCAGTGGGACAGATCCTTCTTTCCCTACTTACTTATGTTCGAATTTGATTGTTTTTAAGGTCTTGTGATCACTTCTGTACTTTCTCTTTTCCATTAACTCCTTGAGATTCTAATTAAATTAAGTTGACAGCAATAACACAGATGGAAGACTAATGTCACATACTGCTCAAACTACCTATTACAACTATTTCTCTAAATAAAACTTGATCGATTTTTCCCTTGTGTCTCTTCTGGTGTATAACTATTGTTGGGATTTTATTTGTTATGTTTAAAAAGCTACCCATGCTAAAGAAGTGTGACATAATTGTTTGTGAGGTTAAAACAAAACTCCCCCTTTGCTATTCCCAATATATGTAATAACATTCCATTTCTCCCGTCTTCTTGTCTTTGCATAAGCTGTGTCCCTTGCCTAAAATGAACTCCTTACTACCTTCACTTGATAGAAACCTAGGTATCTTTCAAGTTCATCAGGAATGCCACTTCCTGCTAGATGCTGTTTGTTCTCAATAGAATGTTTGCTCCTTGAGAGCAGGGACTGAATTTTTTGTTTGTTTGTTTTGGTTGGTTGGTTTTTGTCTTTGTAGCCTCAGTTCTTAGCACAGTGCCTGACACATAGTAGGCCTTTAACAAATACTTGTTGATTTTTTTCATTGAAAAGCATGGCCATATGGTTAGTGTATGTCAGCATGGGTATGTCAGTCAGTCAGTAGTCAATAAGCATTTATTAAGTGCCTACTATGTGCTAAGTGCTGCTCCTACTACAACTTCTGCCACAAAAATGCTGATAAAGGCCAGATAAACCATTTGAGCTTCATTCTCTGACTCAAAAGAAAGTTACAAAATAAGGCTCTTGGATTTCTTGAAGTGCTTGAAGAAACCATAGACATTCATCCAGTCCAACCCCTTCTTTATTCTAAAGATGAGGAAAGTGAGACCTGAAAAAGATAACACATAGCTAGTACATAGCAAAGCCTAGATTTGAACCAACATCTAGTATTCTTTTCAACTTAACAAGATATTCAATCTATGAAAGAATGTTAGATTTTTTTTATCTAAAGGAGTTTGGAGGATTGGGAAAGGCAGTGTGGTATAGTAGGTAGAAAGGCAATCTCTGCACTAGGAAGATCTGGGTTCAAGTCCTGATTCTGATACATACTGATTATGAGACCCAAGTCACTCCACAGCTTAGTAAAGGATAAAAGTTAAAGAAAATGTGTTGATCCATACTGATAGGAGTTTTCTCACCTGGGAATGTTACACCTATACCACTGAGGTCACAGGTCGAGTTGCTACCCCTAATCTTAATGGGGGCTTATTAAATTGTAAGCTCCTTGAGAGTACAGACTGTCTTTTTATTAAGTGAATGCCCAGCACTTAGTACAGTGCCAGGCATACAGTAGGCACTTAATATGTTTATTGCATTGGATCAGATTGGATGGGGGTGGAAGGTAGAATACAATAATAAAGATGAAAAAGGGGCTGCAAACTCAGTATGAATTAAACTTAGAGAAAAGGAAATACTATATTGTAGTTTACAATAACCTTCATCTTATTGCATGATAGTAACAATTGTACTTCAGTCTTTCAGTTGTATCTAATTCTTCATGACCCAATGGACCACAGCATGCCAGGCCCTTCTATCCCCGCTATCTCTCAAAGTCTGTCCAAGTTCATGTTCATTGTTTCCATGACATTATCTATCCATCTCATCCTCTGCCATCCCCTTTCTCTTTTGCCTTCAATTCTTCCCAACATCAGGGTCTTTTCCAGTGAGTTCCAGTATAATATATAGTAACTGTATTTCGATGGGGAGGTAAAGGACTCAGGGTGCAGAACGAGAGATGTTTTTGTTTTGTTGTTTTCACTGTTGTTTTTTTAACATGGCCAATGGTTTTGCTTGTCTATG